CATAACCTGGGACCCCTTGGGGGATATCCACCTGCTGAGGGGATCATGCCTAAGCTGGCAGTTAGACATCCCTCTGCAGTCCAGGGGAGGGCTCTTGCAGTTCAGGATCCCTTGCTCCTTTGCCACCTGCCTGCAGCAGAGGCACTGTAGCTGTGCTTGCTGTGAGTATAGCTTCTGGCTGAGCAGCGTTCCCCCTTTGGGAGAGCAATAACCACCAGGGGGCAGCTCCTGCATTGAGTGTCTGCCCCCTAGTGGTCAGTGAGTGTCATAGCGACCGGTTGTCCTGTTCAGTCAATTTGCATACCGTGTTTCCCTGAAAATAAAACAACCTCCGAAAATAAGACCTACTTACAGGTTTCCTGAGTGAAATATAAGACATCCCCACCAAAATAAGCCCCCCCCCCCCCCCCCGGCTCTGTCTCAGAATGCTATTGCTAAACACGAGAGATGTGGTCCACTGATTCTGAAAGAAATGGAGTCACAAGAAATTCACCAAGAAATTCAGGAATTGGATTGCTATGATGATGTTCCAGAAGATGATGGCATGATTGTCACTGAATAAATGAGTAAATTCTTGATACTGTAGGATTCACATTTTGTCTGGTTTGTGTTGACAACTACCATACTACTGTATTGTATACAGGTAATAAATTTCCTTTATTTTCATTTAACAATAAATGTGTACCAATTCTTCTTCATGGAAAAATAAGACATCCCCTGAAAATAAGACCTAGCGCATCTTTGGGAGCAAAAATTAATATAAGACACTGTCTTATTTTCGGGGAAACAGGGTATCAGGCTTTTATTATATAAAATTATGTATGGGACAAGTTGGTTCTTGAAATACTGGGGGATCACTTTTTAAAGTATATGATTATTTAACCACTGTGCTGTACACCTGAAACTAATAGAGTAATATTGAATGTAAATGTAATTCTAAAATATATATATGTAAATAATAAAAAGGGAAGCAAAATATACATCTGCAAAGTGCCAAAAGACATACATACCCCGAACTCCCTTAAGTGACTGGCAGTGCAAGCTCTGGAGTCTGATTCCTGCCCAATTTTCTAGATGACAGTTCTCTACAAGAACTGATGTTTTAAATTATTGCCATAAAGACCTACAAGATCTTAAATTATTGATGAAAATCTAATAACTTTTTTTCTATGCTCTAGGCCATAATGCAAGGAGAGTGCCCTGATATACTTAAGAGAACTAAAAGGATATTCTTATTAGCCATATAATTCAATTAACTGGAACCATCACTGGTAGAGCTTTTAGTGCAAAATGCTTTAAATCTATTATTTATTGTAGGCATAAACATACCAAGCACCATACTAAGTGCTTTAAAGCATTTTCCCATTTAATTCTCACAACATTTTCTATGAGAAATCTCTTAAGGGAGATTGGCAGGTGATGGAGCAGGAGTCTTACCTAGGTCTGACTGTGAAGCCCATGCTCTCAAATCACTGACAGAAAACCAACTGGAAACTATCCGCACAATTTTATTTGACACCCCATCAACAGACTGTATTTTTCTTTAAACAAATATAAACACACACATATGGGCTTCACATGTCAAAATGTTTTCCTTCAAGTAAAACTGTTTATAAGAATAATCAAACTAATCCTGGCTGGGTTTCTCAGTGGTTCAATCCCCAGCCCTGGTCAGGGCAATGTCTCTCTCTCTCATGTGGATGTTTCTTTTTTCTTTTTCTCTCCCCCTACCTCTATAGAAAAAAAAATAAATGAAAAAAATATCTTCACTCTTCAGGTGAGGATTAAAAAAAAAGAAGAAACAAACATTTTGGGAAGATAATTTTTATTTTCAAATAACCTAGATTTTTATTTAAAGTAAAATATATACAACTTCCTAAATAACTGTTCCATTAATTGGTATTCTTTAAATGGAATGTAGCTGAAGGACACGTTTTACAAAATAATTCTTATATTCATTTATAGCCATGTTAGCTAGTTCCAGAAAGATCAACCAATCATATTCTCGGACATAACAAGATCTTTTACTCCTTCTGCCCAGAATGTTCGCTCTAGTTTGTTGAACTGGCAAATTTATAATCTTCCTTCAAACCTCGGTAAGTGTATTCTCTTGTGAATCCCCCATGCAGAGGCTGATGTAAGTATTCTGCCCTCCCCACTGCCACTGTTCCTCCTTCTGAAACTCCACTGTCTATGACTACTGCCAAAACAGACTGCAGTTATCTTTGTATCATCTATTTCTCTCAAGACTGATAGTTGCTCAAGAACAGAAACCATACATCTATTTCCTAGTTTCTAATGCAGAATCCAGCCCAACACAGTTGGGATTCATTACTTAACAAATAACCTAATTTATATAAACCAATAAATTATAACATTTTAAATTTCTTTAGAGACCACTAACATGTATGTTTCTACTTTAACTAACTATAGGCTAACCTGTAATTCTAATTTTCAAAGAGGTAGGATAGGAGCTGTTTTGTTTTTGTTTTTTCAAACTGATGCAAAATATTTATTCCCCCTCAAAACCTGTGATAACCACATCTTTTAAATCTGTAAATAATGTTGTCAAAATAATCTTAATCTTTGAAATCTCACAAAAATTTATATTTTACAATCCACCCTGAATATCAAGGCCGCAAGAATAACACATTTCTTATATCCAAATATTTTACAGCTGTACCCAAAAAGGAAAAAAGAAACAAACAAACCCCCCCCCCCACATATTCTTGGTTAAGGGCTAACGTTACCGAGCAGCCAAAAATAAAATAAAATATCCAAATTATTGGCATTAATTTAATACAATTATAACTTCAATAGTCACTTTGTCATTGACAATGATTACTTGAGGGCTGGTGGAAGCTGTTGCTGCAACCAGTGTCTAGGAGCTGTTTTTTTTTTTTTTTACAATCTCCATTTAACAACTAAACACAATGTACAAAACACTGTGGTGGATAGTGTGGAAGTTAAAAAATCAGAATCCCCTTCTCACTTGGGATCACAATTGAGTGGAAAACAGACACCTTCATAATTTTTCTACATATGTTCAGTAAGAACAATAATAGAAATAAGAAGTGCCTTGGAAACCACAAAATAGTAGAGCTAATTATGATTAAGAAGACTGGAGAAGGGATTGACAGATAACACTTAAGCTGGGCCTTGATGAATGGGTAGAAAAGTACATTCTTAGCCAGGGAACAAACAGCATCATGGGCAAAAAGGTTCAGAAGTAAAGACAACAAGTGCATATTATACATGTAAGCATTATATCCTTCCTGTCTTTTCTCCTAGCTTATAAGTATTCTTGGGGACATCATCAGCTGCTATCAGCCTATTAAATCAATTTACTAATTGACAAAGGGAACTATCAATCATTAAAAGATAACTTATTTAATACACTAACCACTGAGTAGACTTAAATTTTTCCTTTATTCTAAAAAAAATTATAATATAGTAGAAAAAATATATGAAATAATATTGATAATAGTCAGTGTTAGGTACTCTAAAAGTGCCTTCACATGTATTCATTTAATTTTCACAATGATCCTATAGATAGGCACGACTATTAACCCTATTTTATAAATGAGGAAACTCAAGTCACAGAAAGGAGAAATACATTGTCCGAAGCAACAGAAGTAAATGGCAGAGCCAGATTCAGACCTCGCAGTCTGGCTCTAGAGTCTGGGCTCATTATCATTGTCTTTGTATACATACAAACATACACACTTTTATTTATTTTTTTTTAAAAACACATTGGTTATTATCTTGAATATTTTTATTTTGAGTATACTTTTTAAAAAATATATATATATTTTATTGATTTTTTACAGAGAGGAAGGGAGAGAGATAGAGAGCTAGAAACGTCGATGAGAGAGAAACATCGACCAGCCGCCTCTTGCACACCCCCTACTGGGGATGTGCCCGCAACTCAGGTACATGCCCTTGACCGGAATCGAACCTGGGACCTTTCAGTCCGCACACCGACGCTCTACCGCTGAGCCAAACCGGTTTCAGCTGAGTATACTTTTTATAGAATTTAGATTTCTGAATAATTTGCAGATACTTTATTTTTATAATGAGTCTGTTTAAAGCAAGTATTTTTATACTTCAGTATTTTCATGCTTTATACCACACTTTGAAAATAACTGAAAATGCTCTACAATTCTATGCAGAAAAAAAGTAAATATCCATGTCAATTAAAAGTAATATTAAATTTAGACAGTGGGCAAAACTAAACTTGAATGTCTAAGATTGAAGTAGACATGAATAATGAAACTATAAAAACACACAAAGTAATTACTATAAAAACTGACATAATGCTTACTTTAAGGGGAAAAGGATCATAATTAGAAGCACATATTAAGGGGGCTATAGGTAGCTGTCAAAGTTTTATTTTTTGACCTGGATGGTAGTTAGAAAGGTGTTAGCCATATAATAATTAAGCTACATTTTTTTTTTTTTTTTTGGTGTAGATTTCTGTATCTGTAGTTTATTTTACCATAAAAAGGTTAAAAGAAAAAAAGTACTTTGAAATAATAAAATTTTCTCTAGTAAAGAGAATACAGAAAATTACCAAAAATTATACTGTTACAAAATCAAGACAAATATTCAGACAAATTAAATATAATATTGCAAAAATGTTTAATGTTTTAAAATATGTATTCTATAACAAAGTATTTTAAAACAGAGAATCTGAAATAATTAAGAAAAAATAGGTAAAAATTTGGATCGATGAATTAAGAGAAAATACACATTATGATAAAGCTTTTTATAAAATCCAATAAGTGAAGAATTTATGTACAACCTTAAAATTAAGACAAATTTTCTTTATACCAATTACATTTAATAAGTACAAAATCATGGAATATAACTATTGAAAATGAAAGCTAGAATTAAACTTAAACTATTTTAAAACATCATGCACAAACATCACAAATAAGAGCCTCAGAGTTTGGGGGGAAGTACTAACCAGATACTGCCAGCAGCTGTGAAACTCTCACCTCCATTTCCTCCCGATGGGACCTGTCTCTGTCTTCAAATTCACGTGTCCTTCTCCGAGCCTCTTCAGAGGCATGTCGTGCTAACGCATCCTCCTGCTATCAGAAGAATACAAGAAATAGATATTTCAATTTGGGTTTATAATAAAAACTCAAAATTTGAGGGTGCTTTATTTGTGGAAGAAAAAAACAGCAGAATATTCCTTAAAACATCAAAACCATAAAAAATTAATGTCAGAGCTACTTTAAAAAGAAAACTTCAGTATTTTCATGCTTTATACCACACTTTGAAAATAACTGAAAATGCTCTTCCCTTTTATTTCCCTATCTCATCTTAGTCACTAAAATAAAATCATTTAAGCCGAAACTGGTTTGGCTCAGTGGTAGAGCATTGGTCTGCGGACTGAAAGGTCCTAGGTTTGATTCCGGTCAGGGGCATGTACATTGGTTGTGGGCACATCCCCGGTAGGGGGTGTGCAAGAAGCAGCTGGTCAATGTTTCTCTCTCATTGACGTTTCTAGCTCTCTATCCCTCTCTCCTCCTCTCTGTAAAAAATCAATAAAATATATATTTTAAAAAATAATAAAAATAAAAAATAAAAAGCCATTTAAGAGACATTTAATCTGGAGAGGGAATCAAGATAGTCCTAGGTAAAACATCTGTACTCACTGCACCCCAAAAACCACATAAAAATTACAACTAAAATACAGAACAGCCGAAACTGGTTTGGCTCAGTGAATAGAGCGTCAACCTACCGACTGAAGGGTCCCAGGTTTGATTCCGGTCAAGGGCATGTACATTGGTTGTAGACACATCCCTGGTGCTTAAGTATACTCTTAGTTAAGTCTTAGCTATTATTTTGCATTTATAAATATATAAAATTTATACATTTGTCAAAACATAATTACACATATGTGCTGTATTCTCAGAATGTACTACATAAGCCAGAAGCACCTGCAAAGTAACACTGTCCTCAACTCCCAGAGGATTTCTATTATTTAGCTAGGTATCAACTAGTACACACCTGCTGATAACAGTATACCCCTTCTGTCCTGTGCATTCACTCATTCACTTTTTCATTTTCCCACAAATATTTAGTGAGTCTTTTATTATGTCAAAATCACTGTCCTAGGTGTCATGGATATAATGTGAGGGAACAAATGGTGCTTTTCTTCACAATTTCTGGCCTAGTGAGGCACGTGCACAGTGAACAAATAATTACAAAAATCAATATGTAATTATCAACTGTGATTTAGTCCAGTACAGGAAAATTACATGATGAAATGAGAGCATGAGGCACGAGATGTGATCTAATTCCCTAAGGAAATTATTAGCATCTAATATGTATTCTAGCAATGGTCAGAGTTTGTTTTTTTTTAACCTAACATGATTTTTTTTTTTAAATGATTTTTTTAGAGAATGGGAAAAGGAAAGACAGAAAAACATTGATGTGCAAGAAAAACATCGGTTGGTTGCCTCCCATACACTCCCTGACTGGGAATTGAAACTACAACCTTTTGGTGTATGAGACAATGCTTCAACCAACTGAGTCACCTGGCCAGAGCGGTCAGAAATTTTTATTTCATTAAAAAACTCACACACACACACACCCAAGTATTATTATTAATAGTTGTAATAAATTAATAGATTTGGTATCCCTCCACTTTCTAATTCCAGCTGTGTCTTGGTCTCTCCTAGTGAGAAGTAAAATATGTGTGCAGTAAAAAATGTGCATTTTAGCCGAAACCGGTTTGGCTCAATGGATAGAGCGTAGGTCTGGGGACTGAAAGGTACCAGGTTCGATTCCGGTCAAGGGCATGTACATTGGTTGCGGGCACATCCCCAATGGGGGGTGTGCAAGAGGCAGCTGGTTGATGATTCTCTCTCATCGACATTTCTAGCTCTCTATCTCTCTCCCTTCCTCTCTGTAAAAAATCAATAATAAAATATTTAAAAAAAAAAAAAAAATGTGCATTTTAGCCAAACCTGAAAGGACCCGGGTTCAATTCCGGTTGAGGGCATGTGCCTTGGTTGCAGGCACATAGCCCGTGGTAGGTGTGCAGGAGGCAGCTGGTTGATGTCTCTCTCTCATCGATGTTTCTAGCTATCTCTCTCCCTTCCTCTCTCTAAAAAAATCAATAAAATATATATTTTTAAAAATGTGCACTTTAATAAATGGTTAAATCTGAAAGACAATCAGCAATTACCAATGTTATCCTGTTGCAACCTTAAGCAATACCTCCCTTTCAAGGTCAGCATAAAGGGCACTCGCTGATAAAACTACACGCTCATCCAGTAAAGTACGTTCAAATGGCCTTGGACAATTAACTACCCTGTTTCCCCAAAAATAAGACAGTGTCTTATATTAATTTTTGCTCCCAAAGATGCGCTAGGTCTTATTTTCAGGGGATGTCTTATTTTTCCATGAAGAAGAATACAGTACACATTTATTGTTAAAAGAAAATTTATTACCTGTATACGGTACGGTAGTATGGTAGTTGTCAACACAAACCAGACAAAATGTGAATCCTACAGTATCAAGAATTTACTCATTTATTCAATGACAATCATGTCATCATCTTCTGGAACATCATCATAACAATCCAATTCCTGAATTTCTTGGTGAATTTGTGACTCCATTTCTTTCAGAATCAGTGGACCACATCTCTCGTGTTTAGCAATAGCATTCTGAGACAGAGCCTGGGGGGGGGGGGCTTATTTTGGTGGGGATGCCTTATATTTCACTCAGAAGGAAACCTGTAAGTAGGTCTTATTTTCGGAGGATGTTTTATTTTCGGGGAAACACGGTATCAATCTCAAGTGGTAGCCAGAAAGGTTTTCAACACTCGTTGTCTACCAGCTACTTATTCTACTAGTCTATTACTCCATGGTCTATACCACAATCTGTACTAAGTAGTCAGATAGGGTCATCATAAAAGGTGGTTGGTTGGGTATATGTGAAATCCATCTGTGAAATAAAGGTCCAGCAGTGCTTTCATGGAGAATATATAGAATACTCTGATCATTGTTGATGCAGTTAGTTTATCTATATTATATTGCATAAGTCTATAATTATATTTATCTTACAGTTTGGTGATACTTACCTTTCTGCGGCAATGAATTTTAAAATGCAAGTGCATGTTTAATGAAAAAATAAGAATCAAATTCATTTCCAAGAATGTCAATGATAAATGTAAAATTTGCATAAAAATTTGCATAAAATTTGCATTAATGTTCTGTGTGGACCAGAATTTTCACTCATCATATACTTTAAAGACTACAATATAACAAGTGTACTTGTACATGGTACATTTACCATCATTTTGCAGAACATAACTTTTCATTTAAAAAACAAATGACCTGCCCAAGCCAGTGTGCCTCAGTGACTGAGAGTCAATCTATGAACCAAGAGGTCATGGTTGATTCCAGGTCAGGGCACATGCCTGGGCTACGGGCTCGATCCCCATTGTGGGGTGTGCTGGAGGCAACTGATCAATGATTCTCTCATCATTGATGTTTCCCTCTCTCCTTCTTCTTTCCTCTCTGAAATCAATAAAGACACATTAAAAAAATAGAAATAAAAAAATAAAACATACGACTATTCTAAGTTAATCTCACTCACATTCCCAAGTGCATACAAAAGCAAAACTGTTTATATGTTGGCTTCATTAACAGAAAAACTAGCTAAAAGACACGAGTTTTACACCAATGTCATCAAGTACCTCAAATACAAAATCTGTAAATTTCAACAATGGTTCAATTTTTCTAACCAGATCATAGAATCAAAATGCAGGCATACCTCATTAATTTTGTTTCATTTTACTGCACTTTTTACAAATTGAAGGTTTGTGGATACCCTGCCACAAAAAAATGACAACTTGCTAAAGGCTCAAATAATGGTTAGCACTTTTCAAAACAACAAAGTATTTTAAAAATAGGGCCCGGCCATCGTAGCTCAGGGCTTGAGTGTCAATCTAGGAACCAGGAGGTCATACTTCGATTTCCAGTTGGGGCACATGCCTAGGTTGCAGGCTTGGTACCCGGTGGTGGGCGTTGAGCGTGTAGGAGGCAGCAATCAATGATTCTCTTTCATTATTGATGTTCCAATGTCTCTCTCTCTCTCCATTCCTCTCTGAAATCAATAAACAACAACAAACCCCCATAAATATTAAAATTAGGGTATGTACATATGTACAGACATTCTTTTTTAGACATAATGTTATTGTATACTTACTAGACTACAGTATAGTGTAAACATAACTTTTATGTGTACTGGGAACCCAAAAATTAGTGTGACTTGCTTTATTCCAATAGTTGCTTTATTGAAGTGGTCTAGAACCAAACCTACAATATTGCCAAAGTATGCCTGTAAAAAATTTTTTTTTAATATTTTTTACAGAAATTTTTTTAAAAGGCAGAAAAACTTGAAATATCAACATTCTGGCAAAAAATAAATCAGTTTTATGAAGAGTGAGAATGGAACCTGGGATGCAGGAACAAGAGAAGGAAATGCTGGGCAAACATTTTTGTGGGAGCTCCCTTCGCTGTTGTGCAGCAGAAACAGATTCTCAGTTCATTTTTACTCCCACTGTATTATAATTTAACAGAAATTGTTTATATCTTGGAAAAACTTTCTGTTTAAAAAATAAACAAGTAAATGTTGGAAATTAGTCCGTTAATGTTCTTAATAAAGTGTTCTTGGAGTTTAAAATAAGTAAATATTTATTTATTCTCCCTCTGATAGGAGAATAAGAGCTGCCAGCCCTCATGCCTCGCCCTGCTTGCCAAAGGTGGAACTTGAAGGACCAAAGAGCTGAGGGGAAAGTTCGGTGCGGCTCCTGATTAAATTGCCAGGCTATTACTATTATTAGTGAAATTCAGGTAGCTTTGTTTGAATAAATGCCTCTCAATTTATGCCCTTTGGTTAATGTCAGACATTAAATGGTTTTATTTTTTTAAACAATTTTATCCAGTGTTTGGGAAGAGGATTTGCCAAGCTCCTCCTGCTACATTTTATTATGAACTATTTTTTTCTTCCTCATGATGTTCTAAAGATCAGGAACAAATATTAAAGAGAACCATTTACTGGACTCTAAAGTAGCCCACTGAGCAGATCAGGGTAATCAAATGAAATTTTACAACCACTGAAGGAAAAACTTACCTAAAACTAGGACCAGAATTTTTATTTCAACATCTTCAGGATTCCTCAATATTATTTAAACATGAGGCTTTTTATACTTACTCTTTTTTTCAAAAAAAAAAAAAATACATATTTTATTGACTTCAGAGAGGAAGGGAGAGGAGAGAGAAACATCAATGATGAAAGAGAATAATTGATGGCTGCCTCCTGCACACCTTCTACTGGGGATCAAGCCCGCAACCCAGGCATGTGTCCTTGGCTGGAATAGAACCTGGGACCCTTCAGTCCGCAGCCTGACTCTCTATCCACTGAACCAAACTGGTTAGGGCAATACTTACTCTTAAAGATGGGGTAAAATAGATCCCCAGACACAGGCAACATTAGGGGCCTATAAAGGGACCACACTCAGTAAAGTCTGAAGTTTCCCTACCTGGGCTCGCTCCTCATCAAATTCCAGGCAGCCCATACCATCCAGTCTCTGGAGATCAATCCAACCTTTCCAGATAACACAGACTCCATTCAGAATCATTGGGGCCTTCAAATAGACCTAAGACACAGAAAAGAAGGATGAAAACAAATCAGACACATGAAAAACAAAGGTCAAAGTTACTTATGAAAACTATGATTTTCTTAGGAAATAAAAAATAAATACTATCATAAAATCAAGAATTATAAGTACTACTATATAAACTACAGCCTCTGACCATATTCTATACATTAAGTTAATCTGATTTACCAGAATTTTATTTCTAGTTACAATTCTTCCAGATTACTTAAAAAAAAAAGTTTTACAAATTTTGTAAAAACTATAGTAAGATGGTTTTTGAGGTAGACATCATTGCTCCTCCAGCTGTAGCTAGGACAATAAAGTACTTTGCCTTGGTTTTTGAATCTTAAGTAAAAAGATATAAAGATGAAAAACTGGAATTCATCAGCCCCTGAAAAGTGTGCATTGCTTCCATTTATTTGGATCCCTGGAGCTACCCAGGGTCAGGCTCTTTTACACTTTTCTTCATTTTTTTTTTTTTAAACGTATTTTATTGACTTTTCACAGAGAGGAAGAGAGAGGGATAGAGAGTTAGAAACAGCGATGAGAGAGAATCATCGATCAGCTGCCTCTTGCACACCCCCTACTGGGGATGTGCCCGCAACCAAGGTACATGCTCTTGACCGGAATAGAACCCGGGACCTTTTAGTCTGCAGGCCGACGCTCTATCCACTGAGCCAAACCGGTCCCGGCTTTTCTTCAGTTTTATAAGCAACTTCATAGCTATCTGATAATGCTGCTTTTTAAACTGAATTTATAAAGGGGTGACAATGATTAATAAAATTATATAGGTTTCAGATGTACAATTTTATATCACCTGTATGTTGTATTGTGTGTTCACTACTCAAGTCAAGTAGGTAATGCTGCCTTTATTTATTTTATCTTTTTTATATTTTTGTGGATTTTGGAGAGGAAGGAAGAGGGAGAGACAGAAACATCAATGATGAAACAGAATCATTGACTGGCTGTCTTCTGCACGTCCCCTACTGGATCCCGCAACCTAAGCATGTGCCCTTGACTGGGATCCTTCAGTCAGCAGGCGGATGCTCTATCCACTGAGCAAATCTAGCCATGGCAATGCTGCCTTTTAAAAAACACACACAAAAAAAAATAAAAAACACACAAAAACTTAAGTTAGCCATAGTTGATTTTTCCTGCTTATAAGTAAAAACCTTAATAAGACATTTATTTATTCCAATCTCCCTCATCCTCATACCATACTATTCTTTTTTATTTATTTATTTATTTATTTATTTATTTATTTTTTTTTATTTTTTAAAATCAATCTTTATTGTTCATATTATTACCAAGGTTCCTCATTTCTTCCCCCTTCCACCAGGTTCTCACCCCACCCTCCGCCCCCTCCCCATCCCCCATTGTCCTCATCCATAGGCGCACATACCATACTATTCTAATAGTAATATTAAAATTTTTCACTTTAGATCAAAGAACTTTTTTTTATTGTAGATCTTCACTTCCTCAGTTAAAGAAAGCTTCTAAGCAAAATTCAACATAGACTTTTTATTTTTATTTCACTTATTTTTAAAACACATACTTAAAAAAAAAACAATACATTTTTATTGATTTCAGAGAGGAAGGAAGAGGGAGAGACAGAAACCTCAATGGTAAGAGAGAATCACTGACTGACTGTCTCCTGCATGCCTCACACTGGGGATAAAGCCCACAATCTGGGCATATGCCATGACCAGAAATCGAACCATGACCCCTTGGTTCATAGGTCAACATTCAACCACTAAGCCATGCTGGCTGGGCTCAACATAGACTTTTAAATCGTTAAATGCCTTATGATTTATAAGTCCTACATAGGAAGCAGGACTTCAACAAATTTTCAAAACTCAGTTACCAAATATCTTTTTTTTTTAAATGAATAATACTTGTACATCATTTACTACATGCCAGGATTTGCTCTAATATCTCCCACTCCAATATATTTTTATTGATTTCAAAGAGAGGAGGAGGGAGATAGAAACATCAATGATGAGAATCATTGATTGGCTGCCTCCTGCATGCCCCCTACTGGGGATCTACCCTGTAACCCTGGACATGTGCCTTGATGGGAAATCGAACCATAACCTTCTGAGCCACAAGTAAACTTTTCCTTTACTCAATTTAGCAGTTTCTTCAACAAAGAATCTTGGTGCATTCTTGTTTTTAAGGAGACTTAATAAGAATAAATGACTGTCAGTAATTATAAATATGCTAGAGAAATTACAAGACACCTGTAAAATAAAACCCATAGGATTTATATCTTTTTAATATAATATATACTCATGTCATTCCCCTTCACTATTTTTAAAAGTATATATATTTATTGATTCTTTACAGAGAGGAAGGGAGAGGGACAGAGAGCTAGAAACATCGATGAGAAACATCGACCAGCTGCCTCCTGCACACCCCCCACTGGAAATGTGCCCGCAACCAATGTATATGCCTTTGACCAGAATTGAACCTGGGACCCTCCAGTCCACAGATCGATGCTCTATCCACTGAGCCAAACCGGTTTCGGCTCCCCTTCACTATTAAACAGAACCATTTTTTTTATTAAAGACTCCAATCAGCCGAAACCGGTTTGGCTCAATGGTAGAGCGTCGGTCTGCGGACTGAAAGGTCCCGGGTTCGATTCCGGTCAGGGGCATGTACCTTGGTTGTGGGCACATCCCCGGTAGGGGGTGTGCCAGAGGCAGCTGGTCGATGTTTCTCTCTCATTGACATTTCTACTCTCTATCCCTCTCCCTTCCTCTCTGTAAAAAAATCAATAAATTTTTTTTAAAAAAGACTCCAATCAATCCTGCTGAACTAATTTCTACTTATATTGGGAAAAGCTAAAAACATAAAAGTTCCATTTCTCCTCCCATTCGGACCAAGGGAAATAGTCTACAGTTATAGCTAAAACCGTTTAACCACACATTTCCTTCTGTTCTGATAAGTGCTCATTCTCTTCCACATTGTAAATTCAAAACATCACTGATATATACCTAAGTCTAACAAGTGACTCTGACCTCATATTTGACACCTCACAAAACCTAAAAAAACAATACCCTTATATACTGCCTATTAATATAACGACTTACTATATCTTCTAATCAAGGTTTCCACCTACTCTTTCTATTGGGGGGGCTGAAGGGAGTGCCACATCAGGGAGGAGTATAACATTTCACTTCTCAATGTGCCTCATTATTTTAACTTCTCATTTATACTAATAAAAGGGTAATATGCTGCCAAAACCGGTTGGCTCAGTGGATAGAGCGTTAGTCTGTGGACTGAAGGGTCCCAGGTTTGATTCCGGTCAGGGGCATGTACATTGGTTGCGGGCACATCCCCAGTAGAGGGTGTGCAGGAGACAGCTGGTCGATGTTTCTCTCTCATCGACGTTTCTAGCTCTCTATCCCTCTCCCTTCCTCTCTGTGGAAAATCAATAAAATATATTTAAAAAATAAAAATAAAAAATAAATTTAAAAAAAGAGTAATATGCTAATTAGACTGGGAGACTTCTGGACAAAGCCATTGGGATGGGACTGAGGCAGAGGGACAGTTGGAGGTGAGCAAGCTGGGGAGGGGTAGGGGGGAAAAGCAGTTGGGGGCAAGCAGGCAAGGTGGTTAGGGGCAATCAGGCAGGTAAGCAGTTAGGAGCCAGCAGTCCCAGATTGTGAGAGGGATGTAGGCTGGGCTGAGGAACCCCCCATTCCGGGCACAAATTTCATGCACCAGGTCACTAGTACTAATTATAAAGAGAATTCTTTTAATGGCAGAGAAAGGTCAACTTCATAATCAGATTCTACATTCACCAATGAGTTTATATCTTTTAGAATCAAAGATTCCATAAATGTAGTTTATTTATATCCACAGCCAAAGTATTTTCCTTAAAAAAAATTACTAAATTTTTTTTTTTTTAATATATTTTATTGATTTTTTTACAGAGAGGAAGGGAGAGAGAGAGCTAGAAACGTCGATGAGAGAGAAACATCGACCAGCTGCCTCTTGCACACCCCCTACTGGGGATGTGCCCGCAGCCAACGTATATGCCCCTGACCGGAATCGAACCCGGGACCTTTCAGTCCGCAGACCGACGCTCTACCACTGAGCCAAACCGGCTTCGGCAAATTACTAAAATTTTTTAAAGCCTATTTCTTCTTCTTTTTTTTAAATATATTTTTTATTGATTTTGTACAGAGAGGAAGGGAGAGAGAGAGTTAGAAACATCGATGAGAGAGAGTCATCGATCAGCTGCCTCTTGCACACCCTCTACTGGGGATATGCCCGCAACAAGGTACATGCTCTTGACCGGAATCGAACCCGGGACCCTTCAGTCCCCAAGCTGACGCTCTATCCATTGAGCCAAACCAGTCTCGGCTTCTTCTTCTTTTTTGGTTGTCAAATCATCTTTAATTGGAATATTTTCTTTTGTAATTCTTAACTAGCTGGGCATTCCACTGCACCACTGTTGATGTCATCTAGATGTCATGAGGGTGGCAGCCATTAACAATGCAGCCCACAGTCTGGGTAGTCCCCAGGATTGCATTATTGATTCCAGAGATCTCTAGCCAAAGATTGGTGTTGCATCTGTCAGGTGATGGTGGCAAATCTCACCAAAAGTGGTATTCCCACTGTGCTTAATGTTTTTTGCTTTTTTCTGTCTCTTGGCATATTACCTCCATCTGGGCCTATCTGTTCTGGTCAGTTTCATTGTAATCCTCAGACCCAGTTGCTTTGGCAATTTCATCACCAACCTCTTTTGGAGAATTACCCAGGGGACCTTGGGGGCCAGGGCAGATGTGGCACTGACTTCCATAGTTGCACCTCACATACACAACTTTGATTTCCTTGGGATCAAACTGGTGTTGGGTGAACCAGGTTTTGGGATAACTGAAGAAAAAGTTGTACCAGCCAAAACAGGCTTGGCTCAGTGGATAGAGCGTTGGCCTGCAGACTGAAGGGTCCCAGGTTCGATTCCGGTCAAGGGCATGTACCTTGGTTGCGGT